GGTGGTCAATAAGAATAAAGTGCAGATATGCTGTTCTAAATGGACGTCGGGAACTGGATATTGTTAGACCGCCAGCTCCCGTTCAAATTACACCAGAGTTACCGACCGCTACCGCGTTTTATTCGGGAATTTAATCCCGCGGTGCAAAAAATCTGGTCGGGTGGGAAGAGCCGTGGGAATGCAGACCTCTAGATCAGGGTAAATTGTCCTTATTTTGTCTTCTGGGAAACATGTATGCATTTATGTAGCTTCTGAAGTGCAGTACTAAATGAAAAAAACATGATCTTTAATCAAAATAAGAAAAATTTACACATCATCATCCTGTTCATCCTGTTATTTTGTCTTGTGGAGTATATATAAACATCCGTTATGTGAAATAGCTTATTCAAGACAGTACTAAATAAAAAATAACATGCAATTTTCATGATCCCTCTTATTTTGTTAAAATTATGAACATTTTGCAAGGGGTATGTAACTTACGTGCACAACTGTATAGCTGTGCTTGCAGCTGTAATTTAGACGTCATCTTTAAAATAATTGACTGTTCCCCCTCTCTTTCTCTCACTCAAACCAATCTTTCGTTCTTTTTTAAAAGGTTTTTTAGACCCTGAAAAGAAGCTCTTCTCTCATCGCATCATGTCTAGAGATGAATGCATTGACCCCTTCTCTAAGACAGGCAACCTCAGGTGAGGCACGTTTCACTCTTTTCTGTCTTCTACTTCTGGAGTAGTGTAGCTCCCAGTGTCTGTCTCGTTACAGTTGTTTTAACAATGAACTTGCGTTCATGACACGTTGTAGATATGAACTTCATCATCAGCTTGCTGTTACAATAACATGAAGCAATTTTTTTTTTTTTTTTTTCAAATAAATTAATACTTCTATTCAGCAAGGATGCTTTAAATTAAACAAAAGAGACAGTGAAGACATTTATAATGTTACAAAAGATTTCTGTTCATCGAGGAATCCTCAAAAATATCAGTTTTCAACATTAATAATAAGAACCATTATTAATAATTGAGCTCCAATAATAATTGATAAAAATTGAGCAGCAATTCAGCATATTAGAATGATTTCTGAAGGATCATGTGACACTGAAGACTGGAGTAATGATGCTGAAAATTCAGCTTTGATCACAGGAATAAATTACATTTAAACATATTACAATATAAAACAGTTATTTTAAATTGTTCTAACATTTTACCATTTTATTGTTTTTTTTTTTTTGTTTTTTTTTATCAAATAAATGCAGCCTTGGTGTACATAAGAGACTTCTTTCAAAAACATTTAAAAAATCCTGCTGACCCTGAACTTCTGAACGTTAGTGTGATTTCCACAATGTGTGACAGGACTTGATTTTACTCTTGCTCATATTTAGAGTAGGTTTTTTTATCCATTAATTTTTTTATTGACTCTGGTTGATTTATCTATTTTATTTCCTTATTTTTGTACTTATTCTTTAGAGTTGAATTAATTCAAGTCTAATTAATTCAAGAAGGTCAAGCATCCAAAGAGGTTTTCTTGTTAAATATAAAGCTTATTCAACCTTGTATGAAAATGCTGCCAGAGTGTTTTTTCTTGACTCCAGCAGTGTGAACAAAGTGCTCGTGCACAGAAGAGACGTGTATTTCTGAAGGCCTTCAGAGAACTGCTCTGATTCAACTTGAGACTAAACGTGCTTTCAAGTGCAGATATAAGGTGCAGTCTTGCAGACCCCTGCTTTTTACCCACATCTGTATTCATTCGGCTCTGCGTGACAAATCAAGAATACGGTGAACATTGAATACATTTAAGACTTCAATGTATTCGCTTATGCAGCATGATCTCGTTTCAGTTCATAATTCAGAAGAATTATGTATACTTTGAGCCCATAAAACAGTTTTGGGTGTTTTATTTTTTCTTATTTGGGTGTTCTTTCTGAAAATACACCCCATTTCTCTCAAGCGTTTCTCTTGTGCATCCTTCATGTTATTACATTTGAGGTAAAACATTCAGTAAATCTTTGAAGCTGAATGTTCAACATTTTAATCATTAAAATGACTTGGAAAAGGGCACTTTAAGCTTACAATTTAAAAGAAGTCTGTCGAGCATCTCCCCCGAACCACCTTTTTCTGTATTTATTGTATTACAGTATTTAAGCATTACTTATTCTGCTTTGGTTAACACAAAAACATTCAAAGGCTTTCAGCCACAGTTGTTTGCTTTTTTTTCTTTTATGCAATAACTACGCTGTAGGAAATCCAATTCACTTCACTTTCCTCGTGTCAACTGTTAATATGTGTGGGTTTCATGTGGAGCTCTCATACTGACCTTGAAGGAAGAACAGTCTCCCAAAGCAGCCACTATCATACAAAGACAGTCACGATCGGACTTCAGCGTCACACACATTACTTTCTTTAGGTCGATAAACCTACAGAAGCCAAGCCTCTGCAGCCCAGTGCTTCTATGAGTGTGAATGACTTTGTTTGCCATTTCAAAACTCAAGCTGTTGGAAAGATGTTCTTGGGGGCTGTTTAGATGCACCAGACATTCACAGATCAATCTATACTCATTACGTTGTATACCCAGTGGCCTCAGATGCGTTTGGACGCACAAGAAGTGCTTCAAAATGTCTGAATAACAAAGTTTCAAGGCATTTATTTAAGTGGTAGACGTTGTAAGACATAATTAACGTTAGTTAATGTGACTTTCTGCACCTGTGGTTCCTCTGCTAGGACACCTGTGTGAGCTTGAGGAGAGCGGACTTCATACAACCACTAAAAATCAGACCATTTAATTGTCTGAATCATTTTTGGCCACACTATTTTTGGTATTGTACCAATGTTAACGTTATAAAATGCTCGTTGACATTTTGGCTGGCTGGCACTGTCTGGGTGCTGTTCATTTAGTCATAACCAACCACCAGCTGCTAAATATGAGCATCTAAAATTGTCAGTATGAGAACTGTGTGCTTTTTGCAGAAATTTGTTCCCCTGTGGAGACTCCATGGTGTGCATCATAGACGACAGAGAGGACGTGTGGAAGTTTGCTCCCAACCTCATCACAGTGAAGAAATATATCTACTTCCAGGACACCGGAGACATCAACGCCCCACCGGGTTCACGAGAGGCCCAGATGGCCAGAAAAGGTAATGTTTATTTTCCCAGCGACTCTAATTAACAATAATGCTTAGCAAACTGGAAATTTGCCCTAGTCACATGGCCTGCGGTGCGCTTGCGGCATTCTGAAAAGTTGAGAGGTTTTTATCTCGCTGCAGCGCAGACGCGCCTGGAAAAAACGAGCGTGTCACTCCGCATTGCTTTCTATTTGCGAGCGCTTGCAACGTGCCTACATTTGAAATAACGAACTTGAGCGAGCAAAAGACGCGATATGTGAATGGCCCCTTAAAATGCTATCTGTGTAGGCGACTCACTAGGTATTGGAACACAGCTATTCTTCTTCTGTTCAGTCTATCAATGCGAGTATTTCCTGGTTCATTTTTATTACAGATACATTTTGGTCACAAGAATTGCTGAAGAAGTAAATTAGATTTGCTTCAGATTGCTAAATTTTTTTGGGGTGGAGAAGTAGTTCCGCTCGCTCTCCAGCAGGGAGGGTTTAATAAGAAGCGACGGTGGTGTTTTAATAAAGGTGCGCGTGTGTGTGACCTCTCTCTGTGAGCTCTGAAATAATCTGCTTACCAGAGGAGAGGAGCGCACCGCATTTTACAGCAGTTCCAGGAAACATGCTGCCAGCAGAGGTCAAAGTGCCAACCAGCAGCGGGATCTATTAAACTGATCTGCTCCTGCACAAACTAAAGACAGTTTAGGAGAATATACAGAGGCTGAAAGTACCTCTACCTCTGTCTGTCTAACAGTCAAAAGAGCTGTTTGAAGTGAGTCCCTGAGGGCTGGATACACAGGAAACAAAGTTACAGGGAGAACAGGGGTTCAAGAGGAGCTTCTCTTTTGAATGTTAAAGCATATTTGTGGTTGACCTTCTGTCTGTACATGGTGTGAGGGATGCGCAAAACTAAATTTAAAAATATATATATTTTTTTTATCAATTAGTGAATGTTTGTCTGACCAACTAGTGGTCTAACCTTTTGACTTTAAGGCCCGTTGTCCACAAGAGTATCTATATCTATAGGCACTCCTAGTTTTTGTAAATTAAACAATAAGAGTAATAATAGTTACATAATTAAAAATAAAATAAATCAGTTTCAGGACTCTAGAAGTTTTAGGAGCTGAATATTCTTCAGGGAATATTTAATGACTTCCAGTTTTTTAGAGCTTGGCATAATTAATAACACTGTGCCTGTGTTCACACACAATATCAAGTAGATCATTTGGCTGTATGAATACACTAGTGTATGTGTATAAAAACCTACTTTGAGCTTAATTGATTAATTTACCTGACTTTTCTAGGTCTAGAAAATCGGGGTGTGGCCAAATAGTCTAATATTCGGTCTGTATTTGTTATTCGAAAAATAAAAACACTATTCAAATTTTACTACGTGTTGCTTTGCTGGCAGTAAATGCAGGGAATCCGGGATAAATCCTGAAGCCAGGCATACATGGTGCGATTTTTGCTTTCATACAAGCTAGTACGCGATTTTTTTCTCGCATCGTGTGAGACTGATTTACGAGCCGAGCACCTCACGTGCTCCCGATCATTTTTAAACATGTCAAAAAAGTTCGGGAGGTGTCGGCTTGAATTCGTGAGGTATGCGCAGTTGAACGAGTCAATTTGTCGATCTATCTAAAGTTGACCAATCAGGAGCTCAGGAAAACGACAGAAGAAGAAAGACGATGGCAGCGCCATGGTGAATTTGGACTATTGAAAAGGAAGACAAACTCACTTATTTTTAAAAAAAATTTTTAATGCTCAAAAACAGTATACAAACAGTAGTACAACCATCAACAAATAAAAAATGATAGACAATGAAAAGAAAAGAAAAAGGGGGTGGCTAATACATTACAAACTGAAAAAAACAAACAATTTGAGACTTGCATGTCATTAAAGATAGGAAAAGATTTACAAACAGATAAAGTTTTTAAAGCTTTTTTGTTCTTAGACAATTGGACCAATGAAAGGTATTGCTCGTATTCTTTCATGAAAACAAGAGGTCTCGCTGAACTTTGGCAGAAGCAGCGAGCGCTGTATAATGTCATGCAGTGCGTACCATGAGTCGTCTGAGATGATATTTTACAGCGGATCGCTCAAGAGCTACAGTTATCAGGTGAGATGTAGCACGTATAGGTTGCTGCTTATTGTTAGCTTTAGCGTGTAACTAGGCTTTATAATTCACACACACACGGGGTGATCAGACATCCCAGTTTCCCGGTGCTGAAAAAGAACCTGTATGTCTCGTATCAGTATTATACAGTTATGAGAGAGAGTGAGAGTGGTTTTATTTAAATGTACTACATATTGGTTACACAGTTTATTATACACTGCCCTTCTCTCAACTCAACTCCGTTCAATACATGTCATTACATCAGAGAACTTCATGCTATTGCTTCGAAATTCGGCAGGTCGTAAAATCGTGTCGTATACCACTGCGTCCGTACGATTTTCAGATAAACTCACTCGTGACGTGTGCGTGGACATGCAATCCTCCGACCGTCAGAATTCTATGGAGCCAGATCAGCCTCAAAAATAATACATTTACAAAACAAATCATAACCGTGTACGGCGCTGTGTACGCCTGGCTTAAGCACACAAACTAAAAGTCACTTAGAACTAAATGCATGAGTGGCGCTGTGGAGCGCATTAACAAGTTGATTGTATTTGATCACAGAATGTCATCGTCTGCCTGGCGAAGTTTGGAATTACTTTGATCAAAATGATCTTACAAAATGGAATTACTTTTGATCAAATTAATCTGTGAAACTGAGTTTTGATAATATCACCACCACAATGAGAAATCACATGAAATTCAAACACCAGTGGACTGAGGAAACACAGCTGTCCATCACTGCAGAAGCGCAGCTGTACTCAAGGGAGAGAGGTTTAAGTACAGAAAACACAAAGCGCTGTAAGAAGCTCTGCTTAGCACACCGTTATCTTTGTGTCTCTGGAACGTCTTTGCGGCACACTTTCTAAGTGTTATCAGACTGAGGAACCAACTTTCATGTGGATATTATTGTTTTTCTCAACATTAACATGATGTGAGACAAAATAAACACGATAAACACAGGCCGACTCGAGTTTATGTACTGTACTGTAATTGGCACGGTCTGGTTTATTTTTTTCCAATTGCTCAATTTTCAAAATTCCAATTTTTTTTGAATGCTTTTGTTCTTTATATATATATATATATATATATATAT